TCATTATTTTCTATCCATTTTTTCTCCCTCCATTTCTATTCTTAATCTCCTTTCTTTCCTCATATTAAAATACCAAAAGAACTCCTTCACCACCCCCATATTGTTCCATCCATTCCCCATACAAACACGCTCATTTTCTACCCATACTTTGGATCCTGATTGCCCAAATAATCGATTATCAAATATAGATAATTGACTATTGCACCCTTCTGAATCCACTTGGCAAAAGCCGCAAGGCCCAATAATCGATTGTCACACTTGTGTCAATCGACTATCCGGCATCCCTGAAGTTCCTTTGTTTTGCAGCATCACTACATAATCGATTGTCAAAGCCCATAATCGATTATTGAGTGTCCTAGAACTCTGAATCCAAAGCTGCATCATCCCTCGGTTCCTCCTTAAAATAACAACTCGTTTATACCCCGGGTATCGGGTATAACATTTGGTATCGGAGTTCAGCTTCGACGACTTTCTTAAGTCTCGATGACTACCCGGAGGACCGGCGGCGCAAACGCTGCACTAGCAAAGTTTCTAAAAATTTTCCAGAAACTTTCAGCTCCAAAGATTTGGTCACGGAGGAAGGTACACAATTGATTTTAAGGTAAGCCTTTCCAATTTGGAAGTTAGCTCTTTTATCTACGTCTGGCCGCTAATTTCACTCAATTCCGACTTACGGTTGGGGAGATACGTCTAGTCGAAGTTAAAGAAGCGATTCTGCCAACATTCTGGCTACCTTACTCAATTGACCTCCAACGAAGCATCAAATGATTTTCAATGGTTTGGAATTTTTGATATAAGGACTTCAATATCTAACTCTGAGAGTTGGAATTACATCATTCCGATCTCTGGTTGTTGAGATATGGATGTCCAAAGATACCTAAAAAATCTGGAGATCATCTATGCCAATGAGGCTATCTTGCGAGGGCCAACTCGACGGTGCTACAAGTGTTGTGGCTATGGTCATATCTACTGGATATGCCCAAATGAACATGCTGTACCGTATGAAGAATGGGCCAAGATTAATGAAGAAGCTTCACGTGAAGAAGTTCTAATTGAAGAACCAATTCGTGAAGAGGAAAAGAAAATCTTCAATGACCAGCTTGTCATTGTAGAAGACGTCTCTGATTTTCAAGTCAAAGATGAAAATGACGTCTTCATTAAAGAACCAGCTTCCGATGTTGTGGTAGAGGAAACTACATCGGATGTTATATATTCTAAGGAATTAAATTCCACGGAGTAAACTTATTTCATCTTTGAAGGATATGTGAAGCGGGTTCTAACCAAGATTGCCATCATATTCCGGAAATTACACTACGAGGTGCCATCTAAGTGATATATCTGGGCCCGAGCCTATCATACCCTCCCCCATATCCCACACCCTCATGGAAACCAAAGGACTTAGGTTCAAACATTATGATCCATTTTAGTGAGAATTCAATGTCCTTTATCCCGAAAGGCCAAAATAACTTTCGTTTTTGACCTAAGGGTTCCGCTGGTCAAACCCCTTTTTCGTCCAACCCAACCCCAAACATCCAAAAGTATTTTATTTCCTTTTGATATCCAAAGTAAAGTCTCTTCTATATATTTTAATCCCTGGTCACAATAGGAAACCAAAACAGCCCCATTCATCTTCCAACATCCACCCAACATGGTCCCTACTATGTTCCCTAGTACAACCCACTAAACAACCATAAAAGTCCAGGAGAAACATGGTACTTTCTTAACCCTTTAACCACCAAATAAATCCTCATATATGCAGCCAAAGTACCACACATTATCCTTTCCAATTGTCCCCCTAGTTGGCTGAATACATCCCCCAAAATCAGCCCAAAAGAAGGCCATTCATTCCCCCTGGTTTGCTTTTCATTGGAGGCCCTACAACCATACCCATCCCTGATTTTATTCCAATAAAAGGACCTCAAAACATGGCTGATATTTCAGGGATTTGAGAGAGGATGTTGCTAGGAAGATTCCTCATGTTCACATTCAATGTATAGTGTGTGTTATCCCCCTTCCCCCTGCCTATATAATCAGGCCATATGACCATTGTAAAATCAATCTTTGAATATTAAAACTCCTTTTACTCTTTGAGTATTTATAAAATAGTGTGATGCTATTTTAGCCAAATTCCTAATTCTATATCTTAAGAGTGGTTATCTTAAGTGTGAGTTTTAGGTTCTAGATATTTGATTAAGTGTGTCATATCTTAATTAAATTCTAGATTCAAACCCCAAGTTAGGATAAGAGTGTGTAATATCTCTTAAACACCAACTTGGTTTATCCATCATTATTTTCTATCCATTTCTTTTCCCACCATTTCTATCCTTAATCTCCTTTCTTTCCTTATATTAAAAATACCAAATGAACTCCTTCATCATCTCCATATATTTCCAGTCCATTCCCCCACAAAAACACCCTTCTTCCTGCCCAGAATTCTGCCAAATAATTGATTATCATTCCCCACAATCGATTATCAGTTCCATCGGAAACACCCGCAGGGATCAATAATCGATTATCCTTTCTAGATAATCGACTATCACT